CGTTGTCCATCCGGATGCCCTCGGGGCTGATGATGAAACCTAGGTATTCCACGTGGGTGACGTGGAATTCGCACTTTTGTGGTTTGGCTTCCAGTTCGGCCTCTTGTAGAGCTTTCAGCACCCATCGTACATGCTCGACATGTTCTTCCTCGTTCTTGCTGTAAACCAGGATGTCGTCGAGGTAGGCCGTACAGAACCTGTCTAGTCCCTGGCGTAGGACCTTGTTGATGAAGGCCTGGAAGGTGGCAGGGGCGTTGGTGAGGCCAAAAGGCATGACATTGGAATCAAAGAGTCCATATCGGGTACGGAAGGCCGTTTTCCATCGATGATCCTTGTCCACGAGGACTTGGTTATAGGCCCCACGGATGTCAATCTTGGAGTAGATGTTGGCCTCCGCTATGTTCATAAAGGTCTCTGTTAACAACGGAAGAGGTCCTCGGTCTTTGACCGTTCCTTTGTTCAACCCTCGGTAGTCCACGCATAGTCTCAGCGTGCCGTCCTTTTTCTTGATAAACAACACGGGTGATGCCGCCGAGGACGTGGAGGGACTAATGAACCCTTTATCCAGGTTCTCGTCAATCTATCCTTTTAGAGCCGCTAGCTCGGGCGGGGCCAGGTTGTAGAGGGGGCCGAAGGGGGGAGTGAAGCCTGGCTTTAATGGTATCTGGTGGTCGATCCCTGGCCGACTAGGGGGTAGTTGGGTTTGATTCTTTTCTAAGAACACAGGGAGGAAGTCGTGGTATTCCGGAGGGACGATTTCTTTGACTTCCTGTTGTTCCAACACGGTGTGGTCGAGGGCACGTTGGAGGGCATAGGCTTTGAGGAAGTGGGGGATTTCATGTTCGATTCCTTGGGTGCCAGTTACGTCTGGAGTGCAGTTCTTGAGGCAGTATTCGGATTCAAAAGTAACAGTGTTGGAGGCGAAGCGTATGGTAACATCGTGCTGTTTCAGCCAGGGGATGCCAAGGGTAAGCGGGTAGCCGCCGAGCTTGGTGACAAAGGTGGGGATGGATTCTAGGTGGTCGTTTATTTTGAGGTCAAAGCGGGCGATATGGGTGATGGCCCCTGAGCTAATGGGCCTCCCATCTATGACTGAGAGGTGGACAGGTTCTTTGAGCAGGGAAAGGGGTAGGTGGTGACGGCTAGCGAAGTCTATATCTAGGAAAGCATAACCAGTTGCTCCAGAGTCGATGAGGGCGTGGGTTCGGATTGTGTGTTGGTTGTCTATGATGTCACAGGCGACTACCAAGTGGTTATCCTCAATTCCATTTTCCATTTCGTCCAGAGATAAACTAGAAATAACTAAACTAGGAGAAGACTTAACATGTCCCATGCCAGTGCCGATGGCTGCACATGGGACCACTAGTTTTCCGACTCTTCTTGGGCCGGGAGGGGCTCCTCAGGAGCGGGGGTGGCGTGGGTGCTGGCCCCGTGCATGGGGCGAGGCCCCTTGTTGGGGCAAGCACGCGCCATATGTCCATGGCCCCCACAGTAGAGACAGAGGCCACGATTGATCCGGTCTTGTCTTTCGGCAGGGGTGAGCTTTCGACGACCTGCAGAGAGGTCCATGGGGCCAGAGGCGGTGCCGGTAGCTGTGGAGGCTAGCGGGGGAGCGGGAGCGGGGGTGCGCGGAGCAGCGGGGGTGGAGGTCCTCCAGGAGGACGAAGAAGAGCCTTTCTTTTCGGCGGCACGGGCACGGACATTGTTGTCCAGCTACTTGAGGAGGGAGAGGTAGTCGTTGAAGGGTTCGGGAACGGGGAAGACATGTACCAAGGCGTCTTTCAGTTCTGTGCTGAGGCCCTGGTAAAGGGAGGTGCGCTTGGCGGCATCGTTCCAGAGGGTATCGACAGCGAGGCGTTGGAAGTCGGCAAGGTATTCCACGAAGGGGCGGTTCTTTTGTTGGAGGCTCCTCAGAGCGCGTTCTGCGGTCTGGACCCTATTAGGGTCCCCAAAGGCTTGTTCTAGTTCAGCAAAAAGAGCATCCATGTTCTCGAAGTCGATGCGGTCATCCAACACCCGGTGTTGGATTTGGAGGTAAGCGCGTCCCCGAAGCAGGCCAAGGGCGTAGCCGAGGCGGTGTTGTTCACTGGTAAACCGATGGGCGTCACCCTGGAGCTTCATTCGTAGCTGGGTGACGAAGGGACCAAGCTTCTCGGTGGTGCCATCAAACTGTTCGGGGTCAGGGATCGAGACTTGTTTGTTGCCACCAGCAGGGGCTGCGGCACCAGGGGCGGGCATGAGGGCGAGGGCGGTGTTCAAGGACGTGATAGTAGCATTAGCCTGTATCAGGCTGTTTTCGACTATAACGAGACGGGCCTCGAGGCCTTGGCCTTCGGTACGGGCGTCGTCTCGTTCTTGGGCAAGGAGGGTACACTGTTGTTGTAGTTGTAGGTACTGGGGGGTCTGTTCAGGGGGGACAGGAGTGGCGTGGCAAGGGGGAGGAGCAGGTGCATTCAGGATCTGACAAGCCAGGTTTCTAGCAAGGTTGAACTGGGCCTGGAGCTGATCATGGTCTAGGCTTTGTGCATGGTCATCCCTCAGATTCGCGAGGGTATGAAGGGGACCATTGATGTTATCAGGGAGGTGGGACGTGGCCATGGTGTGGCGTGGGTTGGGTCCTGGCAGACGCAATCTTGTGTAACGGACAAGGTCTGAGGGTCGGGTAGCCCAAGGCACACCAC